ATCTTCTTTGCTTTAATTTCTTTATTCCACGGTTCCAATATATATGAAATTCATATATTCATCATCATCAACACAAAAGAAATTGTAAAAAAGCATACTAGAGTGAGTGCTACTTCACTGAATTGGTAAAGATGCATCGTGGGCCCGTCGTCGACCCACACATCCCGGGTTCCTTCCAAAAATCTTTCACTTTCTTCCTCATAGTTGTACAGGAATAATTTCTAGCAGCAAACTGAATAGTTTAAATGGGCTCAACTAACTTTGCTCTGTCGATGTCTAAATTTTTTTTTGTTTGTTTGCCATTTCTTTTGCTTTTAGATTTCAATGAATGCCAGAGTAATACGTCAAACAGATGCGAACAAGACTGTGTAAATGTACCGGGATCTTTCACTTGTGATTGTGGCAAAGGATACAAACTAAACGCAGACGGACATAGCTGCGATGGTAACACGTTAAAAATGTTTCATGACTCTTTTATTATTAATTTCGGTATTTTTCAAAATATTTCTTCTTAGTTTTCATGAAATTAATTTTATTAAAACGTATTTCTTTAATTCTAACAAGCTTTGTCAATCAGAAAACTAGAACGTGTTTGCAAATTAATCTTGTGTAAAGCAAGGTTTCAAAAGAAGTCCTAATTTGTCTGAAATGGTGGTATTAGGAAAAACTAATTGAAATGACCGTATTTTGAATTGTAAGAACTAAAAAGTCGGTTTTTACCTGATGATACGTACAGACTTTCTATTTCTTTTAGAAGACAAAACCAGTTAAGTAAACTATGTGATCTCCAACTTTATACCAGTGTCACATGATTAGCTTATGCAAACGAACTGAACCGTGTTTTTGAGGTTACGTCAAACGGTATTTATTAACCGAATCAAGAGTAAGGGCAATCAAACCAAAAAAACCAAGTTACCTACGATAACCAAAGCCTGAGAAAACAGCCAACATTTCGCGACTCCACCACTGGTTTCCCCGCGAAATGACGACATCTGAGGAACGAACGCAGAAATTCTATACTGATGACGTCTTACTACTTGTTATTAAAACGTTCTCTGTTCATTCGTGGTAATTGATTTTCTTGTGATCTTAGCCTTTTTCATGACACTTTGAATTTCGGCAAAAGGGCGTTAAGTGATTGGTGGTCGACATTGTTAAATTTTGGTGAAAAACTTGCGAGGAAACTTTTCTTACAGGTTTGTAGATATTAATTAACTTAAAAGTGTAACGTAGCTTATTTAGTGCATTCTTTTAGAAACATTGTATGTTGTTTAAATCTATACCGGGCCGTCTCTATTCATTAGAGGTACGCACTTGTTGACAGAACATAGCAAAAGGTTGATCTATTTCTACCACCTGCGCATGCGTATATCCATCTTTTCTTAGTGATCGCATGATGTACAATCACTTCTTAATAAAGGGTTTAGTTTTATCGTTTGTCTAACGATTGTCACTTTGATATTGATCGCGACGTTTCGACCGCACACTGCAGGTCTTCATCAGGCGATAGCGTCGATTTACTGAGTCGAACTATTTGTACCACCGGGGTTGTTAGTGATTGGTGTATCACAAACACCGCTCATGGTTGGTGGGTTTCGATCCAAAGCAATTTTGGCCTTGTGAGAGGACGAAACTGATCCCTCGTTGGTCCGCTGTGGTAGATAGCGGTTGTCAGTCATGTTGTCTGATTGTAGGTATACACGCTTTAGGAATCTCAATTCCACTGTACCTGTCGACGTTGTTAGGGTGAAGTCTTATGTGGATAGCCTCCTTAACTCTATGAGAGTACCAGTGAGGGTCTCGGTCAATAAACGTAACTTCGTCCCAGAGCGAATAATGCCCGATCTTATTGGCGTGTTCAGAAACGGCCGAAGTTTGAGTTCGTGAAAGCCGTATATCCCTCTCGTGCTCTATAATCCGTTCATGCATGCACCCTCCTGTTTCGCCAATATATACTTTGCCGCATTCACAAGGAATCTTATACACTACTCCATCTTGTTTTCGTGGATCCACAGGATCCTTAGGTTGCACTAAGTGCGATCTTAGTGTTGTATCGGAATTGAAAACAGATCGTACGCCATGCTGTTGTAGGCAATGACGAAGTTTCGAAGTGACAATCGTGAGACAAACGATAAAACTAAACCCTTTTTACACATTATCCACGATGATTTAAATCTTTCATGACAATCACTTGTTGCTTCCAGAAGCTTTCCCTTCCCTGTTATTAACCAGTTGATTTCCCCTCGGTTCTTTTAAACGCTGACAAAACTCGGCCAATATCCAATCATCTTGACCTCCTGCTTGGTCGATAACACATTATATCGGTTGCCTGACCGAGCTTGAGGTATATGGGATTGCTGTTCAAAGTTGGAATGTTGTTTCACCAGGAAAATTTAAGCTAAGTTGTCTTGGCGTAACTTAGAATTTATTTTTGTAGATATAAATGAATGTGTACCAACAAATGACTGCATGCAAACGTGTACCAACACTCAAGGAAGCTACAACTGTTCGTGTGATGCAGACTTTTTTAAAACAGACCCTAACGACTGGAGAAAATGTGAAGGTAAGTACCATCGTCCAAGGCCTCTTATGAGTAGCCTTGTAAAGTAGAAATTTTAAAAAACTCAGTATCTTTTTTCTAAACTATTGCTTATTATCCCACTCATGGCATAGCATCCAACTCAATACAATAATTATCTTTTTTTAACTTTTTTCACTTGTAGCCAAGAATCCTTGTTCTCCAGATCCTGGATGTGACCATGATTGTTACACTGGAGCCAGCAACCAACCATTATGTGTGTGCTTCGCTAACTACGAGCTACAGCCTGATGGGAAAACATGCAAAGGTACTGGGTTAGTCATCATTTATTGCGAAACTGTTTAAACATCTTTCTTCCCTGGAATTTGCAAACTTCGTTAAGACTCAACTTAAAATGGTACGCAAAATGCTTTTAGCATAAAACGAGCGAGGGCACGGAATCTCAAAGTCTTAAAATTTTAGGGGCTGTTCTTAGCATACGATACCGAAATGACTTTCATTCCGGAATGATTTTCGTTCCAGAGTGGAGTTCGTACCGCATAAATGGCTCAGTCTGGCTCAGTCTAGCCGTTCTCACTCGCGTGGTTTTCGCGCCAGATCAGATACGCATGCCTCACTCGCCCGACAATACACGTTTGCGATTTTCAATCCGGAACAAAGCTCGTTTTCAGTTTACATGATACCGGAATGAAATTTTGTACCAGAACGAGAATTTAATTCGGACTGAAAACCGTGAACTCATTGTGGAATGACTTGTATGAGAAAGAAATGTAAACAAATACAGAGAAAGATATGGAGATGGAATGAACTTGTTCCGGCATTCTGGTATCATGTAAATTAGCCCCTTAACGACTTTGGTATGCTAGTTGTCACGTGAGCTAACTAAATTGACCGGCGCTCTAGCCTGCGTAGAAAGCGTCTTCATGCGGTTTCAGAGCAAAGAACAAGGATCGTCGTTCCTCGGTCTTTCTTTGCTCCAAAATCAAAACGGAAACGCTTGCTACGCAGGTTGCCGGCGCACGTAAATAAGCTTCCTTGTTCGCTTATGTGATCATATTTAACGATTATTGAATGAGGCTGAGTGTCGTCTGAAGAATTTTGGAGATCGTGGAAAGGAGGTACAACACCGTTCGAGATCAGCGATCTCCATAATTCTTCAAACTATACGAAGCCATATCCACTAGTTGTTTTTCTCATTCATTTAAAACAATTCCTAGTTTAAAAACAAGCTAAAACATGCCTACCTCAATCGATGTCAAGTTCCCTTCCTCAATGGCCTGTTTCAAGTTCAGGAGATAAAGGGACGTTTAGTTCTGCAAATATTCTCTATAAAGCAGATGTCGCCCGTTGAGTAGTTTCGAGTATCCTGCGCCACAGTCGAAACTAAACTCTAGTAAAGTCCGTCTGCGAAACACCACCGAAACCCTTGTTCTGGACCCCACCTTTGTACCAGGATTTAAGTACGTGATATGATTGAACTGTTAAAAATACCATTGCCGATAAAATCAAAATATTTTGTGCAGTCATAACAAGTACATGCAGTACTGTAAACTAATCAGAACTTCAGGAAAACATACGAAACTGGCGAAAGTGGCGCGACAATAAAAAGCCTCCAGGCTTGACCTGTCCAAAATTAAATGTGTGGGCGCCAGTTTTGAGTCAAAGGAAAGTAGTGTTTTTTGTCTTTGGATTGGTTTTTGAAGGGCTTTGTAAAAGAAAACGATGCTAATACAATACGTATTAGTCAAACCATTTGTGTTATCCCGGCACCGGATAGAGACTCATCCAATGGATAGCATTATCCAGTTTTTGAACCACTGGGGCCAGATCTAGACCTTACTGTCCGCAACAGTGCAGAAAATGTCTGTTAAAGTCAGTTAAATTCATTTATTAAAACCATTTTTTACATATTGTAATCTTCGCAGACATAAATGAGTGCGACCCTGAGAAATCTCTTGAACGTTGCAATCAGATTTGTGAAAATACTCCAGGCAGCTACCAATGCTCTTGTGAGAAGGGGTTTGAATTAAGCAACGATGGATACACGTGTGAAGGTATGAAGGTGGTGGTTATTTTAACTTAGCCGTTTTGTTGGGGATCGCCTTCTCTGATGTGCTTTTATTTTCGAAACGTCTTTCGTTCTTTCAATTTTGGGAAGTCGTTGTGTTCTCAAGGAGAGCCCAAACCACTTTAATCGAGTTCACAGTGAGCTGCATCCAAGTATGACCGACAGAACAAGTGATATGTGGGTTCTAAAGAAGATGAATGATGCCAGTGGCGAGTCTCCAATCTTCTTTAACTTCCTACTGCAGCCTGCAATCTGTAAAACGCGAACTTGAAATCCAGTAAATAATTATGAGCCCCTTTTCCATCCCATCTTTTTTTTTTTATGAGAGGAGCAGTTCAACTGATTATTGTTATTTTTCTTTGATGTCATACAGATATAAACGAGTGTGTGAATGATGATTTATTCAATTGCACGGATGAGTTTCACATTTGCGTTAACACTCGTGGTTCGTACAAGTGTGTATGTGGTCAAAACCTGTACTTTATTGATGGAAAATGCAGAGGTAATATGCCAGTTAAGATGGCGACTTCCACATATGTTGTCAAAGTTCGAGTCACCTGCGCTACGATTTCTTTATTCGCCCATCATTGTAAAATAAATGTTTTGCGTACGGTATTTGATAGTATACATGAGCAGGCAAGCTCTGCTGAGCTTTTCGGAGGAGATCCCCGACTTCAACATACAAAGGCGCTGTACTATATAATTCTATCGATCTTTATAAAATGATTCAAACTTATCCAGTTTTAGTCGATTTCCGATACTTACTTTAAGTGATACTGTATATTTGTCTTAATCATCTTTTTAAATCGGCCATAAGATTTCTGATTTCGTAGGTTTTCAGGTAGATTGTGCCATAATTTTGCTCCTCTGAATTTCACTGAGAAGTTGCAATAATTTGTTCTTTAATACTATGTGTATGTTAGAATCTGAACGGGTATTGTAATTATGTAAATGCTCACTCTTTGCGAAGTAACCTTCATCAGTCCTATTCAGAACTACACTCGCCCGGACTATGATCATATTCCTCTTACTTATGGCATTGTTCCTGGGCTCAAACCATTCACGATGTCTCACAGAAGTGAAAATGTTTTTTATGATTATTCTAGGTTTCAAGCCCATTATTCTGCTCCCTACTCTCTCTTTCCCCTTCCAGCCCCTCTACCTCCCCCCGGCATAGACAGTTATTTGATCTAGGAACTTAGACAAAACAGCGGTTTACCCTTAGTTAGATACAGTGACATGGCAACCAGCCCTGACCCTTGTTTCCATTCATGTTTTAAAAAGCTTCCAATGAGACACCCATATGATGTCTTTGTTCCAAACTAACAAACAGCTAGCTTTTTAGAGACCGTGCAAGTGACGTTGTTGGTTTTTCCTTCTACAGGTTTGGAAAAAAATGAGTCTATTCCAATTCCTAAGCTTGAACAGCCTCGACAGCCAAATGCAAAAGAACAGGAACATGCTGTAGAGATTACGATTGGAGCCAGTAACGACGTAAGAATAGTTTAATTCAGTTTTTTAACTCTTTTGTTTCCTCGTCAGTGGCCCTTTGTAAGCATCAGTATTGGTAATGCAGTACTGTGGTTAATTAAGTGATGGGCAAGCCTGTTATGCTAGAGAGGGAGTTTGCAATACGTCTCGAAGTTTCATTCTTAATAAAATGGGATGAGCTCCCTACGGGTCGTCTTGATAAATTAGTTGTGTAACCTCGCTTTACAGACACTTCGTGATTACGGACAGTTTTCTTTATCCCTGGGAAAAGCCCTGACACTTCAGCCCCCTTAATAAGGACATACAACCTTCGATGACAACATGCAGGAAAGTTTACAGTGCTACAGCGCACGCGGTATAAGATAAAATCTAGCTAGACGCCAATTTCTGAGTTATTTAGTGTGTTGTTTTTGATTAAGTAATATACAAGAGCGACTTTAGAGTGATTCCACCGGCATAATGTTCTTCCATTCGAAGGGTTTCTGTATGTAAGTGGCGTTTCATGACGATTCTCAAGCATGTGTTCTCTTGTCTTAAGTCATGTTTACCTTCCGCAATAATTTGGTCTTATAACGGAACGGTTTGTTCCAATAAAAGGTATACATTTTCGAGTATTGAAAATAACACTATCAACCCTCTTAATATGGACACCCCGTTAATGCCGACACTTTCTGTGGCTTCCCCTCAGTGTCTGTATAAATGCATGTAAAAAAGTATTCATCTAAATTCTGAAAAAAAAAATAATTCACTGGTACTAAAAAAACCTAAACACAGGAAAAGTAGGTGTAGGCAGGAACGGCCACAGTAACACAGAGTAACACTTCATTTCATGTAACTCCCAACGCATTAACTTTTTTTACAGTTCAAGTGGGATTTCGATACTGACAAGTCTTTCAAAGAAAAAACGGCTTTAATTACCACCAGCTACTGCACCGAGAACAGGACAGACTGTGCACTGAAGGAGGAAAGACGCGCCAGGTAAATACATCGTCTGTGCATGTAAAAGAGGATGCAATATATCATCGTTCTGTTTTTTCACCCCGCTGCCCGCTTAGCTCATTTGAATTAGGGCCGGTCAGCTAAGCGGAAAGTCGGGGGTTTAAATCCTAGGAGGAACTTCAACCAGGGATTTTAGAACTTTGAAAGATTTTACAGGTTGCATCGTGACTCAGTTCGGGTGCGCCTCATTGTGTGGGAACGTTAAGCCGTTGGGAACGTTTTAAGCCTTGTTTCTTTAGAAGTGCAATGTGGCGCAGTCGTGAGAGCACTAGCCTCCTAGCAATGTGGCCCGGGCTCCTCGGATTCATCGGCGTCGACGTCTTATATGTACGGCTAGCCCGTATGACAAACGACTGCGGAAACGACTGCTAGGCAGGTTATATCTAGGTTGAGTTGGTTGTCCGTTGTCACTTCTTTTCCTTAAGATTTTTCTCCGCTACAAAATCAGCTCTCCCCTCCCCCCCTACTGCCTTTTTAAATACCAGGGATGTCAGCAAAGAAGATGTGGCTTAACTTTCATGGCTTTTTCGGGTCGACACTTTTATTGGTCCGCAGCCGTAGGCTTCTCGCTTTGTGCTGTGGACTTGGCTACAATTGGAAAATATATTTTTTAAAAAGAAGAGCGAAAATAGCAGTCAGAATTTTTGCCTATTTGTTGATTTTTAGACGTGCTCTTGATTTTGAACTCTACGTTGCTGACTATGTCCACCTTCTGCCTGGGTATCCTAGCAACGGCTCAGTCTCCCGCGCTGTGGCTTTTTACGTGCAGCAGCCGCCAGGATTATTTACCGGAAATAACTCAGTATTACCTAGCAACACTTTGGTTGATATCGTCGTATTATACAAGTCTGAGCTTGAGGGCGCAATTGGGGCAACCATATCCAGTATAAAAGCTCTCTTCACACCAACCGGAACGACGACAACGACAACAAGAAAACCTATCGAGGAAAGTGAAAACAACAACTGGAAGGGAATTGTAATTGGTGTTAGTGTTGGAGTAGTGGCCATTATTCTTATCATCGTCATCGTAATTTGGCGGTAGGTTTTTTCTTACTTTCTAGTCAGTTTTTAAAAAAGCCAGTTATTAAGACAACGGTTCCTCCTCAACTCCAGTGGTACTTCTCCACATATTTGTATTATGAAGCAGATGCGACTCCACTGTTAGTTAGCGAGTCTGTGTTCAGTTAAAAACGACACGAAGCACTCACTCGTTGTTATGTGACGTCACACTGGCACGCGGAATGGGTCAACAAACGTAATTGGAAAACAATAGTTAAATCGTATTCCATCAAGATTTTGGGTTAACCTTTAGAAAGTAGTAGTAGCTATGACAGCCGGATTTGCAGTATTACAAAACACGGTACTAACATATAAAATATAAAATAAAAGACATTTTACTGTTTTTGATGTATATTCTTTAGGTGTTGAGAGTTATTAGAAAACCCAGTAAAAATAAAAAGAAAATAGAAAATAATTAAATTCTGATCGGAGCATTGCTAAGGTAGGAAAGTGCAAAGGTAGATATCTTTTGTTAGAGTAAAAAAATCCGCAAAATATTTCACAGATTGACAGATTGTAGGGTACTCCTCAGTAGAACTAAAAGCGCTACTGACCCAATATATTTCGTCTCTTTCTTCTTTAGTGTAAAAACGAAAAAGAGAAACATCAAAGTGACTCCAGCCTCAGCTTACTTCCCTGAAGAAGCAGTCATCATGGAAAGTTACACTGCTAGATCAAGTCGTGAACGTCTAAGAGCCTGGGAGACAGAAGTCGATAACGATAATACGAGCTAATACGTAATAACTTAAGTAACAAACTATGGTTTGAGCATTATGGGACTGACCATTTGGAGGTGATGGAGGAGTGGGTAAAACGCCATGCGTTTTGACACTTAGGGACAGACAATTAGGAAGTGATAGATGGGTGGGTAAAACACAGCCTTTTGAACGTTAAGAGAGCGACCATTGGGAAGTGTAGAGGGGTGATAAAACGCCATATATATTAATGGGCGGACTATTAGAAAGTGTTCATGGAAGGGTGAGAAAAACACCATGGTTTGGGCATTTAGGGAAGGACTCTTTGGAGCTGATGGAGAGCTGGAGAAAAAAAATTCAAACTAGATAATTTCTTTCTAAGCTTGCGAGCGGGCCGAATTCTCCAAGCTGCAATCTGTTTGGTCCAGGGAGCAGACAGTATTTTACCATCTTTCCAGCTAACCCAGGCAGAATCGTTGTGGCCTGTTTTTTTTAATACAATTTTCCTTTGAAACATAGCTCCTATGAGCACTAGCTAAAACAAGTACATTTTGTTATTCAGACAAAATATCTGAAGAGAGAACCTAGTAAATCAGCTAGGAAAACTGCTAAAATAATGCAAAACAGGCGCGGCTATGTGGCTTTAACCAGCTGTAACTTACACTACAATTTTAGTACCACAATGTTACTTTAATGACCTGTTTAAAGGAATTTTTTTTGCTCCTTTTGTCTTTCTTTTTTGTTTCCCGTTTTTGCTGAAATCTTTCTCTTGTTTTTTATTCAATCTTGCCTTGCCTGTTCAGTTCTACTTTAAAAAAATTTGTTGTCAATGATCACATTTAGTTTACAAGTTTGAATAAACAAGACGAGTAACTTTTTTTTTTTTTTCATTTAATTGTCTACATATCTTTTCTCTACCAGACATCTTCTTTTATTCGAGTTCCTTAAGCTTACATCAGCAATGATAATCTACATATTTATTTGAGAAACAAAAACTAATAAGCGCTGCGGCTGCATTGCCGGGAAATACGGCACTCCAGCTTGAATGGATAGAATGCAGAAGAAAAATATATTTTATTTATTTTTATTTCTCTCGTGTGCGACTCTTACCTGAAGTCGGCGCCCTTTCGATTAAACACAACTGTCTTTCAAATTGTGAGCCGAGGATGTACGCTGATGACACCCACCTTACGTACGCAGGTGATAATGCAGACAATATTCAGTTGCATCTAAATCAAGATTTAGGAAATGTTCACAATTGGTTGAGAGCAAACAAACTTACTCTAAATATGACTAAAACCGAATTTATGCTTATCGGATCTAGGCAGAGGCTAAGTACTCTCACAGAGTCCCCGAGATTTGCAATTAATGATTTTGAAGTTAGCCAGGTCACTACTGCAAAATCACTTGGAGTGACCATCGATGACAGACTTGATTGGAGTGGCCAGAAAGTAACAAAGAAAGTCGCTTCTGGTATTGGGGCCATAAAACGAATAAGGCACCTTGTCCCTCAGGCGACCTTACAACTAATATATCAAGCTTTAATACAGCCAAACTTTGATTATTGCAACATTGTTTGGGGAAACTGTGGGATAACCTTACAGAATAAGGTTTAAAAGCTACAAAACAGAGCAGCCCGTGTTTTGACCTACTCAAGCTATGACGTAGATGCTGGTCACCTTTTCAAACTTGTAGGGTGGAAAAACCTAGCTTGCCAGCAACAATTTCAAAGAGCTACGATGGTTTACAGGTCTCTGCACGGGTTGGCTCCAAACTATCTTAGTTCTAAATTTGAAAGGCGAGAAGTCGCATATAACCTAAGGGACTCTGAAAATAAACTCAATGTTCCATTACCGCGCACAAACTATTACAAAAACAGCTTCAGCTATAGTGGCGCCATTCTCTGGAACAGTCTTCCTTGTAACTCAGGCGGTGTGCGCACTACGATCGCTAAGCATCACGGGCGGTATTCAAAATCTGATCATTTGTGTCAAGATGGCGTGAAGTGAACATCTCGACCGCGGAGTGAATATTCGTTAATTACGCTGGAGACATAAAGGATTTTGCTTTGAATCTCGTCCGGAAGTTCTTGAAAAAGAAAGTCTGTCCAATTCTCAGGGAAAAAACGGTCTCATTCCGTTGATAAGTGTATTTTGGTGTATTTTGTTCGTAATCACTTGCATCCTGTTTGCAACTGACTGAGAAAAGAAACAGAAACGCTTTGCTCAATGCTTCAATCATGAAAAGCACTGGAGGTAAGACCCGCGGTTCGCCGAAAATTTTGAATTCACCGTGAAATCAGTGCAACTAGTGCTAAGAGGTACTGATAAGCATAGCTGTGATATGCTCATAAAATACTAAGAGCTTCTTCAGAATACCCGGCCACGGTATTTAAACACAGTGAGCGTATTTTGTTTTGTCATTCAGCATTGCAAGATGTTCACTTGCTAGCTGTAATAAGAGAATAGAAGTTGAGGGGGTCATCTTTTCAAAGACTTGTTTCTCTGTTGGCACCAAGTCTGCATTTCGTTTTGCTTAACATCTGTATTTATCATCAAATGAAGACAAGTAAATAAAGTAGAGAGTATTTGTGTACAATGAACTTGTGTGCTGTTTATAGATAATATAATATTGAGCATCTTTATTTGCCCATATAGTTTCTATTGGTATGAGTCATAGAATGTCTTATAACTGGATTGAAACTGAAAATGGCATATTTGTGATTACAAAGCCTGATGCAGTCAATAGATTTGAAAAGCTTCAGCCACTATTTGTTTAATGATTGTGTCAGTATGTACAAACACATGTTATCACATATGTTTTTGGATTCTAAAAACTCCTCAAAATGTGAAATTCATACATGTTTACAAATCTCCTGTAATCAGGGCTGGGGCAACATAGCTTGAGAACCCTTTCCTTTCTCCTCACCCCAATTTTATAATTTAAATATGGTGTCATAGGTCTCACCATACTCACAGTCAACTCTGTTATACAGACACTGAGGGGACCGTAGAAATTGTCCATCTTAATTTAGAGAAAATTTAAGGGCTTTTTTTCCAGGGAACAAAGCAAGCCGTCCGTAATGATGAGCAAGGCTGTGCCCTAAGGAACATTGAAAGGAGCCCAGTTCTCTGAACCTGTGAAATCTAGGCTGCCCAGCATATGATTTGTATGAAAAGTCTGAGATTTTCTAGTCACCCAAAAGCAAAAGTTAGGTGCCAGGGGCCACAGGGCTCTACTAGAGCACAGCCTTGATCAGGTGTCTGTATGAAGTGGTTGTCCGTAAAGAGGGCTTTTGGGTTACCAGTTATTGCAGAGGTGGATCCTAGTAGTACAGTAAAACCCCCTGACTTAGAACCTGAATTTTAAGAACCTGTTAGGCTAAAATATGCCAGATGAACCCCCTCTATATAAAAACTTGTTTAGCCTAAAATTTGAAACAGGTTCTTATTTTTGAAATCTATGAAAAAATTCTGCACACTTGAGCAGAGATAAATCAACATTTAGAATCTTCTTTGGAGACAAAGTTGTCTTATCACTCCAACTGCAATGTAAATGCCAATGTTTAAATTAAAATACATTCCTCATTTTATGTCCATTCTCATATTAGTCAGGTCTCTTAGTGCAAAATATAGGCCGGATCGTTACAGACGTGACAAAAGTGTCAAATTTGGCACAGAGCTTCCTTAGCACCTATTGATTAATACTGGAGGGGGTGCCCGTTACAAATGGTCCAAATTACAGATAAAAGGGGGGGTTAACTTTCACCTATAATAGCAGATTGGGTGTCCTGTGGTGAGTACTCTTCTTGTTTGATTTGGCTAAAAAACATTTGTGGCAAATTTTTAAGTCTTAATTTGGTAATGTTTAGTTGTTGTTACACTATTCAAAATAGTTTTACATGTACATAATACTGACTAGTGCCCAGTCTCCACACGGTAAGTGTGGCCATGTTCATTGTGCGGACTGTGCGGCTATCAGTGTCACTGCTAAGACTTGCCAGTGATAATATCATTACATATCAATTTAAACAGATCACAAAGCCAGCTTTCAAAGATATCATACAATAACATAAAACGCAAATGTATCACATCCTAAACGACAGAATCGTTAAAGTTTGACATGCCACATGAACAACCTCATGAACCGTAACTGACAACGCACCCACTTTGTAATTGTGCAGCTAAGATTAGATTATAATTTGCTTCGTTGGTAACCCTGTCCTTGAGATAATGATTAAAACATGTCAACCTCGTCCTCAGAGGGAAAAGGAGGAGCAAGGGTGGCACAGTTGGTTAGTGCGCAGCCTTCGGTGCGCGAGGACCCGAGTTCGAGCCCGGTGTCAACACATCCTTATTTCAACTTCTCTTTTTACTGTGTAGCTTTGACTAGCTTTAAATACCCCTAAAACGGAGAATTAATGGAGAGAGGGGGTAAAAGGAGCGCACCGTTGACCTCAAGTTTATCACTTATTATTACTGTCACGAGGTACTGACGTAAGATATGGTCGCTTTACCTTTTTCTACCTTTTTATTAAGCCCTGGCGACGAGGTTGTAAAACATGCCTCTCCAGGAATTTTTAACACTCTTTATTTTTTGCACATTTGCATTTAAGGTCTCGGTAAAGGAAAACGAGGTGCCCACAAAAAAAAATTCTAGTAGCGCGAGTATTTTCGCTACAAAGGCAAGTTATATATCAAATTAAAGCTAAAAGACTAAATAACCTTATAAAAGATTTTATTTCATCGAATTTCAAAAGGTGCTTAAGTTTTTTGCTCTCGAACTCAGAGGTATCGAGTTTACTGTTGAAGCTCCAGCCCTTTCGCGTTGTTAAATATTCGCCTCCTTTTTATTGCGTCTGATTGACAGATAAAAGACCTAAAAAAGGGTGTGAGGAAATTTGCATATGTCTCGTATTAGCGGAATTATTGCATTTCAAACTAAAAAGTCGAATCTCGAGCGCGATTTACGCAAAGAAACTGACATAAAATGAGTTACAAAGGGAAATCGGAAAATTCCTCACACCCTTTTTGGAGTCT